GGGGGAATCGCTGCGTTGGAAGTTTCTTCAGGAAACAATAAAAACATGAGGACTGCCTATCGGGCTAACCACCAGGCAATGCAGCTGGTCAAACTAATTGGGGAAGTTGCTCAATTCACAGCTGTAGAAGCAGACTGCGCATTTACAGCTGTTTCAAGTATTCCAAGTAATCGGGAGAGTATAGGTCATCGACAAATTTTCCTGAGGGATCATTTATTATATTGGCAAAAGTATTTTCACTCAGACCACTTCCACATTTTTTTGTTCCTCACACAATGAAATACAAGGAATATTTTGGCTATCGCTTACTGCGCATTTCGAGTACTCTGCAGTTCGTCAGGCCTGGAAGTTATCAGAACTTGTAAACGTTATCGAAGCAACACAAGTTTTGTGATGAAAGCAAAAAATGTTTGGAAAAGGTTGTAATCTGTGACGCCAGGAAAAAAACTCTCTCTATCTTGTCCAATAGTTCATTTTTTGGCACTCTGAAGTTAGCCTAATATAGTTAAACTCGACGTCCTGCTTGATCCCAATAACATCAAGGGCTCAACACTGAAAATATTAATGTGAATAATCATAGGGGCATATTAAAACGGTCAATGACAACGGATTCAACGCAAAACTGAGTGAATAGGAAAAATACGACGGACTGAGGTTGTTAGCAAGAGTAGCAACAGAGGTGATAGGCTGGCAACAATGACAGAAGACGGACGAACTATCAGTCACAGCACTTATTTCGAAAGGAATCACAGAGAAGAAACCGGCTTGGGTTACACCAGTGCAAGAAGCAGGAATTTTAACTCTAAACAAAAATAACCATATGAAAAAGCAGGAAGAAAAACTTGCTTTGGTGATTTAAGCCATAGAATTTGCTGCAGGTCGTTGCCTTTTGTTACCTCAAGAGCAGCTTCAAAAGCCTGCAAAATTAGAGTTCGTTGAAGAAAAATGCACGCCATATCAAAAGGATTTTTAAATACAACAGAGAGAAAGAAAGAGAGCTAAGCTTGGACTTCAACTAAAGGGCACTCACCTGAACTTTTTGGAATAAACTCAACTGCTCCGGATCATTAACGTAACTCTGCATAACTTTATGTTCCATCGATAACATTACTCCTTTCTTTTCACGATATTCTCGAATTAGTGTATGCAAAGTGTCGCAGTTTGGAACCCATCCAATCAAGCCACTGTTCTCACTGAGCGTAACAATCGAGTAACGCTGAAAGATAAGTGAATTGTCAAGCTTATCCGGGACAATCGATGTTTCGTAGATGTTAATAAGGTCATCCAGGGAGTAGCAGCGTCGGAAATCGGCAAATTACCACCCCTCATTTACCACAGCCCTGATATTTCTATTTGGATGACTACTTTTTGGTCGGGCCTCCACGGCTCCTTCCTCCCTTTCTGTTTCGACCCACAATCGTGTTTCAAATCTCAGTACGCGTCACCTGCCTGATTTTATATGCACTAGCTCTTCCGGCAGTGCCCGACTGGTCGTTTACTTTCTTGCACATACTAAACACCGGTTAGAGACGTACACTGGACTGTCAACAAAATAAGCAATGCTTGAAGCAGCTGGGAAAGCTAACTGAGGTAGAAAGCATTGTTAGCTACCTGAATTGTCAAATTTCGATGAGAAGTGTCCGCTTGATGTAGCAACAGCGTATTCACTAAGCCAAACAGTTGCATGACCCGTTCATCTTGTCGAGGATCCTCGTGACCTTTCAGAAGGAATGTGTAATCATTTCCATCACTTCCTAAATTTTGAAAAAACTAACATCAGAAATCAAAAGTAACTGCAGCAATTCAAGTACCACTTTGGCAATATCATATGAAATATAGAACTGGAAGCTGAAGCCTAGCAAAGTGTTTTCTGAAGCTTGGGGTCGGAATTCAGTCACTAAGACCATCATGTTTTTTCCTTCGTAACATACACTGCCTTGGCAATATCGCTCATACCAGACCAAAAACGCATATACTTCGCTGGAGATGCGCTGCAACCGGCTGTCACCTATCACGCATAGCTTTACCGCTTCTTGATTCACCGCTAACTTATTCCAGTTTGCATTAGTTGGTATTTCACGTTTCACTTCCATTCAACAGAACTGTTTATATCATATTTACGCTTGAAAAAGGAGCAATCAATTTCATGAATAAGAAAACAATTTCAAATTTATGATACCTCTTATAATTACTTTCCTTGGGCGCTGCTTCGAACTTATTACTTGCAGTGTATGATTGAACGATGATATTGTAACTAGTGGTCCAAACGGATCATATGCCCCCGGCACAGTGAGTTCCAAATCTCGTGCTTGTACCAACCTGAAAACAGCAAAAATATCATAAAAATGCAAGAAGGATAAATCCCCCCTGTCGCCGAAAGGCGAATCGTTTTGTGGTGACTAAGATATTTTTTTTGAAAATTGTTCTGAGAAAATTGTTCCTAACGCATTCTCATGCGAATTTCGAAAATTGTTTTATCTGTCTTTTTATCGCCGGCGAAAAAGTCGGCTTTCTTTTCATGTACTACTTTCTCATACAGCTTTTGTCACGGATAACTTTCTCATGGGGTTTTTGGCGTATTGCGGCTCCTGATTGCCGCAAGGTGATAAAGTGTCCGTTTACGCCGTATAAAAGC